AGAACTGACGTTGAACCACCTGACTTTCCCCTAAGTTGCATGAATTGAAAGCCTCATGCCATTTACACTCGATGTTGTATACATACTAACATCTTCTCCCACTCCCAAGTATGTTTTCTCTCCATCTCGCTAAAAAATCATGGTAAATTGTGCCTAAACCACAGCAAAAACCGGCAGGTGTAAGACAGGACTGCCAAAGTACCTAAGAATACCTGATACCCTTTTTCAAAGTTCAGATACGTCACCACAGGAGCATCCTATTTTTAAATCATGCTTTATTAGGGGGAAAAAAAAAATCCTTCTTGATTACATAAATACAGGTAACGTGTTAAAGGCATTATCACTTCAGGCACTAACTTTTAATTATCTTAATAAACAATGAACTGTTAAAGGTGTAAATTTTCACGATGAGTCAGAGAGCAGCTACCACGTACGACATGTTTAAAGTATGGCTAAAGTAAGAATTGAGAAGGTGGCATCCATACTTAATATCCCTAAGGAGCAGTAGGCAATTCTCTGGCAAGACAGGCTCTGTTATCTCCCAGTAATGCTGCAAAGCTAAGGCATTGCGAGACAGTGTTCTCACAACTGTTGCTTATTTTTGGCTATTCCTTCTCATCAGTGGTAAGGGTCATATCCAAATCTGAAATTCAGCTTGCTTCCCAAGCAGCCATCCTGTTTGTGTTTATGCAACCACAGATAGAAGTCTAAACATCTTTTTCAGGTGTTCATTTAAACCAGCATCAGTAAAATGGTCGATTTCTGTGTTTAAGAGTTCTACAGTATCCCTCCACCCAGAGGAGTTTCTATTGGCAATTCCAAAGACTTCCAAAGAACTCCTGTGCAAGTAAAAATCTCCACTAAGTGCAAAAGTGAGTTCATATCAGTTCAAATTAATTTCTTACTACAGCCTTCAAAAATTACTACCTAAATAGGCAGCTATATCAAAACCCAGTTGCTTCAGTTAAGTTGGTATCACTACAAAACAAAGAAACAAGAAAACTAGTTTGAGAATCTTTGCATTAAAATAAGTTTTATATCTCCAAAGTTCAAATGAGGGTTCTGAGAGAGAAGCTCTGTAACGTAGGCAGTTATATGTGAACAATGTAATTTTTACTTTGACTATACTCTCAGGAAAAGACCATTATCATCTAATAACCTTTAATCTCATTAAAGAACACACAAAAAAAAAATGTCTTCATACACATATGCAGGTTATAAGTGACCTAAACCAACTGAACTAAACCAAAGACAAAACTAATTTTCAAGAAGACAACCAGACGCTTCTGATGTATGCACACTGCCACGAGCCACAGGCTAGAACAGATCCATCTGGAGCAAGAATCTGTACACAGGAACAAGAACCTCTGGGTACACATGGCAAGGGATATAAAAATAACAGTACATATAAAATTCATAGGAAGTACAAACAAATTTTTGGTTTCATTAATAGAACAGGAGGGATTTGATCAATACGTAGTACTTTAATCCAATAGCTAAGATACTAAAGGCCCCGTTTGTATGGGCAAGACATTCTTGGTCATCTCCTTCTCCCCAGCCTCACATGTATACGTTGAGGGTAGAATTCTAAACATTTCAAGAGCAGTAGTGTGTCACTTCACACGGTACCTTCCCACCCTCAACCTGGCCAGGGCAGAATAGCTTCAAATTCCAGGAGCACAATATAGCTCCACTAACTCTCTGGAGTACTTTTAGAGCCTCAAACAAAACACACCTCATCTTCGAGTTCAGACAGTAGCCTTAAACTAGAATGATTTAGGTAGTCTTTCCTTTTCAGTTTGTCCTAAGTTTCATAAACAGATTGCTTAAAGAAAAGTCCATGAAAGACAAACAGGGCTTGCCCAGAACACTGCTTCACAAATGTCCATAAATATGAATAATGTGGAACTAGGATGAGACCAAGAACAGTCCATGGTCAGAAAACCAAAAAGGAAAATGCATGACAGCTGCAAATCAGCCACATGGAAAAGGTTAAATACCTCTTTGGCAGGCTCTAAAACCCAAGTCATCAATCCTGAAGAGCAAGCCGCTGCATCACGGCCACTGTTTGGCATCCAGCACGTACTCTGCAGACCGACATCAAACAGTCTTGTAAAAGAAACATCAACGAACCATGTCCTAAGTGCCAACAGCAAAACTTACTGAGGCAAAGCAGATGTGCATAGCGATACTTTCTGAGAACACAATTCCACCAGGAAAATGCTCTTCTTGGGATAGAGATCCATTTTTTAATAAAACACAAAAAGTGCCTTTTTCCTCAGATAAAGATCTTCTATTTCCTCATGTCCCTGTCATGAAAGCTGTTCAGCAATGATCTTCCACAATTCCTGCAGGAGTGGAAAAAATACACACAGGTATTTTGTCATATCAGTAGGTTGCAATTACGGAAAGTTCAACATGCTCACTTGAAGACAGGTTGAAGACACACCCTATACCTCCACCTACAGGTAGCACCCATCTGCGAACAGATACTAAATCCACCTGCATAATCTCCTAGAACAACCACCAAATTATCTTTGAGACAGAGGAATAGAATCACCTTCTTCATCCTTGTAGCATGATTTTTGTTAAATTAAAAATGAGTATCATTCAAATAATTTGTTTTACAAAAATTTCTTTGGTCTGCATGACCTTCTGCAGTATTTTAGGTGATAATCTTGCTTTTTTTTTGTGTTGACAAATGCTTTCAATAATGCTAGCAAAAATACAACTGCAAAAAACCACTCAGTTTACTGAGGAATCAAGGTCTCACAAATGCATGCCTTGTACAAACACACACCCGCTTCTCAATCTATTGGATAACGAAGATGAAAAACAGACCACTGTATTTCACTGGAATAAACTGTTACATGCTTTGTCTGCTACACAAACCATTAGTAAGCAGACTATCACATACCCTTTATTGAGGTCTTGAATGGTGTCAATGTACCCCATAATAAATAAAACCATGGGCGTATTAAGAATGTATGTATTTCAAAGACCAGTAGCCTTCTGCAAAAAGGCTAGGGAATGGTTTACACCTTTAGGTATAATCCAGGTTACATTTACACACACTTGTAAAGCTTACGTCAAAGTTTTGCATGCATACTGTATGCCTGAAGGTATCAGCACTGAGTAAAAGAAATCTATCTCATGAAGTAACTGTGGCCCCTGTAATCTTACTACACGTCCATACTGCAGAGGACACAACAAGTAGTATGTTGACTACAGGAACATCATTTCTTGGTAACAGATTCGCAAGTTCTCTAAAAAGATCTTTTAGGTTGTGTTCTTCTAGAGGCCAGCAAGCTATTAGCTACCCTGCGTAATATTTGTGAGAGCAGACAAATTGGCAAAAAAACCCCAACAAAACAAACCAGAAAGAGCCTTAAGTGCTTGGGAGGTAATGAGATAACTACAAATATTATATCTGACGTGTTTCTGAGTAAAAGAAGTTTATAGCTAATCGACTGCTTCGTAGATATTATTCCTGAGCCCTGAACTGGGAAAGGGATTACTAAAACTATGAAATCAAAGTTCAAGCAAACACATGAGAAGAGATATCGCTCCCATTTTGTAGTCTATCGCAAAAACTGTGTTTTACAAAGTAATGGAGCTTGCACTCAAGTCCTCAAAGGTTAAGTCACTGTCCTGCTGGGGACAGAAAAGGGTAGGTTATGTCAGTCTGGTATGGATTATGTAAGCACAAACAAGAATCATTTTAAAACACCAAAAAGCTAAATGGAAACAAATGAAAAGGTAATGTTTATTCTCCTGTTCTTACTTCATGTTAAGGAAACAGCTGAAAAGTAATTTGAGATGATTAGCCCAACACATTACATTTATTTTAATGAATGCCACTTACCAACTGCTCAATTCGTTCATAAACAAGAAACTGGCAGAAATCAAGCTTAATGGGCTCCACAGTATATTTCATTTTTCCATCCTGGAGGTTCTCCAAATCATTTAGAGTATTTCTAAAATGACTGTAGGCTTCACATGTAACATCCATATGTCTTAAAGTGAAGTTCAGCCTGGCAAGGAAATATTTAATTTAAAACATCTCTCCTACACTGGCATCTTAAATAGCCATGTAACTTTCCTCAGCAAATGGAAAACGCTGGTCTTCTCAGTGTAATTAACTAACCTCGATAGCCAGAAAAAAGAAACCCCCCTGCTATTCCTGAAAAGCAGACAAGACTTATGTGAGCATCAATACATGATAACCCTTGGACGAAGCTCTCCATTGATTTTAAGGCACTTTGCCACAACAGAATCATTGGCTTGGCTTCCTGGACAAACACGTGGCAACAAATCATCTGAATAGCTATTGCTTGCATATCCCCGGAGATGTAAGCAAAGCCTGTTTTATTTATGTAGTAGTTCATGAATGGAGTGCAACATGTGACTGTTTAAAAACGTTCAATAACTCCTTCAAAGACCCAAGAGAAATGGTTACGGAGGTATTCAAGCTGGGAAACATATACCCTAATTCTAACCCCCTTCATTCCACTCTATGACCTCAAAAATATCCAGCAAATGTTGTCAGGCATTACAGAATGCATCAGCCTAACCACCTATTTATCCTTATCTGCATAGAGGTTATCTGAGGTGAGACAACACAAGCTGAACTCCTGTGGAAGTTGGATGCTGGACTGACAAAAACCCAGCACGTACAAAATCGAATGCTTGTCTTGGGCACATACCACAGCCTGTGATCAACCAATACAGTGAAAATCAGAAGCCAACCTTCAATCCAATCAGATGTTTCTTCCAAATAAAGAAAGCACATAAAGTTTTTAGCGCTTTTTATTTTAAGTTCTTGGTAACACTTACCTCTTTTCTAATGCTAGGTAAACTGTGCAAGAATTTCTCAGGTTGCGTGTGATTCTATACAGTGTTCTGAACAAGGCATCTGTCAGGTCATCGTCATAGAACACTACCAAAAAAAAAAAAAAAGACCATAATACAATTAAGCATACACATTTTATTTACTTAAGTCTCAAGTATGAAAAAACAACAGGCCTTAGTTTGACTATTCTCATCAAACACATCACTATTTTAACTAAATCCCACAGTATATTTTTAACGGCAACGACTGACGCTGTGATAGTATCCACTGCAGCTATTTATGTCAGGCTTGCTTTGAGATTTCTCTTGTCACTGGGAATGACTTCTGTCAGACAACTTGCAAACCTTTAACAAGATTTCTCTCAGCCTGGAAATCTTTTACTGCAAAGCTAAAGACGACAGGGTAGCAAAATGTGTAGGGCCTCATTTCTTACAAAACCACAGGAAAGGTAGTAACTAATATACCATTATAAGCATATCTCATTGGAAAGCTGTCTTGCCATACCTTTCAATATCATAACTAAAACAAATTCCCTTTTATTTATACATCAAGACAACAATGGTTTTGCTATACAGATAAACTAGCCTGTCACTTTTCAGTCTTTCACTTAACCAAGAAAAGAGCAGAAAAGAAAGAGAGAGATACCCAAAAGGCACAGACTCTATGCCAAGTGCAGCATCTGAAACTGGTTTTCACATTATAGAACATATTAGTCTAACCATCTATTTATCATTATTTGCATAGAAGTTATCTGATGCAAGACAAAGGTAGGACAACAAAAACTCTTCTGAAAGTCAAATTCATCACTTACTTGTGATTCCATTCTTTGCCTAATTTATTTAGTCACAAATAATTACCACACCGAAGGAAAGAAAAAGCCAGTAGTTTAGGACATCTGTTCTCATACTGCTGATTCAGAATGGAAATACTGAACAATACGAATAACAAATTTCTTTGTTAAAAAGAAAAAACAACAAAACAAGCAGGAAAAGGCAGATCTTTGAAAAATTAGGGAAGGATGTGACCTATCAGATTTTACAAGCAAACTAGGTATGTTTAAATTATTAATCATAATGCTCAAGCGTTTGATTTAAAAGCTTACTGTTTATATTTTCCTACCATCAGCTGCCATTATCACAGTACAGTGGTCATGCAAATCAGCAATCTCTTCTTCAGACCAGCTATAAGGAGCTTCAGGATCTGTAACAAAGAATATGGCTTTGGTGTACACGATTAAATGTCTCAAATGACCGACAGCTGGAAAAGAGAAACCTCTTAACTCCTGTGGTCACCTGCTACTCCATAAATAGAGCACCCCACCGAAGGTAAATCAACACATCCTTCTGTTCATTCTCTGAAGTTCCCTGCAGTCCTGTGCTTCCTCTGTCTTTTTCTTTGACTTCAGAATTTACAACCAATTACTACCCAGTAGCGGGATCACAGATTTAGCTACATTAGAATAAATACTTCTTTAAATAAAAAACCCCAAATGCATATTCGTATGAGTTTAGACTAAGCTTCCTACTTCATCATGCTTTTTAAAATTTAGACTTTGTTAAAATACAGAAACCTTCTCTGAGAGTCTAAAAACCAAAATATTTTCAACTGGCAGTATCAAATCTTTCCATTAACCAGAAGTTTTGAGGTGCAAGAGAGGGTTTAGAATGTGTAAAGGATGTTTCCATTTGCTTACACATAGTAGTTCTATTTTTCAGAAGCATTCTATCAAATTCAACTGATGATATAAAAATCTACAAAATAGACTGCATATCACTTAGTGCTACAATTTTGTGTTGACCTTGCAATCACTATAAAGAAAGTTTTAGTGATCTGCTATACTATCATTAATTGCACTGTAAATGTTACTGCAGTTAGTTGCCTTTATTTTGCTAAAAGCAGCAGAACACATTCCCTTGGCAAATATTTAAAATACAACACATTCACCACTACATCAGGAACAGGTAAACCCTTACTCCCTCAGGTGGCAATGATGCACCCAAAGACAATCATGTACTTCTAACTATTTTTCCAGAGGCGTACGTGCCGGAGGACTTGCTTCATAAACAACGTAATAAGCTTTTCTTGACGGCTCTGAAGGGAAAAACAAACAAAACACCAAAGCCTATCGGAAAGGGCCCATGATAACCACCTACCCGTGCACCATTCATCTTTCAGCCAGTCCAGTTCTTTTACTTTCACTTCCCCTCCTGTGAGTGGAGAAAGATCACATCAGTCACAATGGCCTTTCACACAGTACCTAAGCAGAGTCAAAACCTGTACTGAAACAAGTGACGAAGATCTGTTATGAGGACGTCTAAAACAAGTGAAGTTGGGCATCAAATCATTTACTGTACAAAACCAGCTACCCACTCACAAGACAACAGGAAGAACTTCAGGGTCAGAAAGACAACCTACGTTCTTTTACGTGTCTCGCCAGCAAAACACTTGTCCTTTCCAGAGTTTCTGTCATTTACACTGTTTATGTTCCACCTGGCACCTGAATGTCTGTGCTCCTCCCCAGTACCTCAGTGAATCTCACACAGTGTGTGGGAACTGCCGCTGCTCCCATGTGGTGACCAGAGAAAGAGTAAGTATTTATCTCTTCTCAAGAGGAAGCTGTCCCATGATAAACCACACAGAAATAACCTGCCTATCTCTTTTCAAGACAGAAATCTAATTTTACTTGTGAATATGCTAGGTAGGCAACGGCTGTGCTGTTTATCCCACAGGAGTTCAGGTATATATAGGCAGTTGCATAAACACTGCCTGTACAGCACTTACCTCCCGGCTCCATCAGGTGTTTGTTTAATGCAACATTTTGCTCACACATGGCCAGAAGATCTTCACCAACATCTGGAAGAAAGTGATAATGATATTCAGAACGAGAATATTTTGCAGGGGCTGTGCATACCTCTGACCTCTCAGACTAACCCTCTAAATTTCTCTCAAGATGGTAGGATTAAGGAAGATTCAGAGCAACATTGTCCGCTGGTGGCTGCTTCCCTACTATCCTTCTTGCTTTTGTCTTCCAGTATTAAGCTCTGTTCCACCCCTGAGGAAAGAAGTTACATCCCTATACTGCCTGTTTTAACCTAGGCACACTATCTTGAGTTCAGAGCGATGTGTCTTGCATTTGAACTCCTGCACTTCAAAGCAGTACTGCTTTTTCTATCTGTTGAGAAAGTTCCTGTTATTGTTCAATAAACAACACAACTTTATACACATTCATTAAAAAAATTATTAACTAAAACTGAGCAGATGAGGATAAAAATGACAGGAGGAAAGCACTGCTTCATGAAGTTTCATGAAAATATTTAAGTGAAAAGAACTGCCTTACCTGTGCAATAAACTCTCTTGGCAACTGTTCCCATGATAACGCTTGTAATTCCAGTGCCACCTCCAAGCTCTAGCACCAAACAAGACCTGAACGTGTCCCGTGTAAACAGAATGTAATCAGCAAGGAGAAAGGCTGCACGCCAGACCTGTGGATAAGGGGACCAGTTACAGCTGAGTAAATTCTGAGGCACAGTCCACGAAGAGCAAGACACTGTGAGGCAGAATACCTACTTGTTTACCAACATCTTCTAAGGGAGTTGCCATCGTATGTTCTGTGAAAATGAAAGTAGAGCAGAAATAAGTATCTCAGAACGTCGTTCAAATCAAGTTCCATAGTGGCAAATTTGAAAAGTGATGCTTCCCTTTCAAACACAGAACGAAACACTCTTCACTCTAGATATAATGCTAGATAATGCCCCAAACCCCACTCTAACTAAGGAGCACCGAGTTTCCCATTACATGCTATTGCCCAAATCACTTCTGGAGAAAAACAGTAAATTTAAAAAAATATTAAGTATCACAGTATTATGTTTGTTTTATTCTCTCCTTCCACTAACAACCGCTGTTCCATTTCTAAAAAAAAACCCCTATTTTCCTTTTGTTTTACACAAACATATTGATTCCCTTTCTCCTTGACTGTAAGCCTGCTACTTACCTATTCTAACAACATCACTGCAAGTGCATTCCTGTTCTTCATCTTCAAGAGCATCTTCTTTCCCTTTCATCAGAATTACAGGATACACTCTATCCCTTGAAAGATCCTCCGCATCCAAATCAGAGGCACTTCGAGGTCTTCTGACCACTTCCAAGTCTCCATCATCATCTAGCAGAGCTTCTACTCCTTCACTAGTTAATTCTCTTTCTTTTTTTAGATTATCACACCGTTCATCTCCACCTCTGTACTGGTCTTCTCCTGCTGTTGCAGCTTCTCTCACATGTTTCTCAGATGCCAAATCTTCTGTGTTACAAAGGAGTTTGAAATATGACAGGAATACTGTAAGAACGTGGAGAGGGAGAAAGTTAAACACCAGGTAAGAAGCGAATCTATGCACAACTCCCCCATGCATTAAATTTTGGTATGCATTTCACATGTTAAAAATCTAGAGGATAAAATAATTATACAGATAACTTGAAATATAGTTGTTTGCTATGAGGAAATATTTCTGTTATTAAGTTCTGTCAGCAGAAATAAATGAAGCACTTTCCCAGTCTACTGGCTGACTCAGCATCTCTGCAGTCACAACGGCACACTTCCATCTGATTTAGCAACATTTATTTTAACAATTGGCAGAAGGGATGGTTCCTTACATCCTCCAAAAGATCTGTTGAGACAAGCTCAAACCAGGTTGAAAGAAGAATTAATATGGGTTAGAATTTGCTTCTTTCAGTTAAGAATTAATTCCTATCTTATAAGAAACATGTTCTAGTGAAATGCAAGTAGATATTTTTTTACTGTTTTGAAAGTCTGGGAATTTAAGCAACCTCAGGTCTTGAAATCAGCTGAGTATAAGAAGGCAGACATAAGCTCACAGGTGACAGCTTACCAAAGCTGGACATTTTATTCTTCCATCTACAGTGCATTTCAGCTTGAGACAGCAGTGCTTGTGTGCTGTGCTTGACTGATCCGGCCAGTCATGGAACACAGAATCATGGAATTGGAGTCACCTACTCTGGTATGAAATCAGCCAACTTAGGCTGGGTACTAATGTTCCAAAATCATACACAATGTGTTGAGGCTTGAGAAAAAAGATAGCCAAGGATATGACCAGCAGAAAAGGTTACCACCAGTAGGATTCTAGGAACAATGTCTTAGAATTATGTTCATTCACACCAAAAGGGAAGAGATAGAGTGCTTGCCACCATTGCTTTCAACAATTTCACAATTTATGGAGTTATATTCCAGGTTCTTTAGAAAGGACTATATTCAAAGCCTGTCTACTGTAACTCAAGAGACGTGCTTCTCTAGAGAGACCGTTTTCAGCTAGATCTGACAGAATCTTCATTGACTATCCTAGCATAAGAAATTTTTTAAGTCATCCACTTTTGCATGACAATCAGATTAAACTGATTTGAATATTTAACAAATTAAAGGATGCTACCAATGAATTAAATGCTTTTGTTCTCCAAGTCCCTTCGGGTCCTCTGCATGTTCTATAGCATTTCAAAAGGTGTAAGGTAAAATTGACCCAAAGCAGCAGAGACTAAATCCCCTAAAAACCAGCGAAGTGACAATGGTAGATTGTTGTCATATGTGTTAGCATGACAGCTGTCATACTACAATCCAATTCTTGTCTTAATAAATAAAGGAATTTCCCTGACCAAGTACATTCAGAGTAGGTAGCACATGCTGTCATTTCATTCTGTTGAAAGGTTCTCTGCATTAAGCAAAATCACAGCAAACAAGTGTCAAACAGTATGAGGATACACCACAGCATTAATTACCTGGTTTTGATCTGCTCAGGGTCAAAATTATTATCTACTACTTTGTCAAGCTCACTTCTATAATTTTTTACACCGTCATATGCTACAACAGCTGCAAAAGTTGTTCTTTTTATGTCACAACTGGGTTTTAGGAAACAACTAACACTTCTATCACAGCAGGAGCAGTACTTTTCTCCAGAACATTTTACCAGCAGCTTCAAGTCAGTTTCCTTGACAACTTCATAGGAACCTCCAAGCTGGCAATCAGGCAGAGGCATTTGCCAATTCATTTCCACTACAGCCTTGACTCTGAATTATGTCAGTCAAAACCATTGCTATTCTGAACTTTCTTGTTGCCTTCTTTTTTAAATCAAACAAACACAAAAAATCCCCACAAAAACCAAACAAAGCTTTTAGGTTCCTGTGGAATAGATAATAAATCAACACATAAAGATTTTATAGAAATTCATAAATTAATTACTGGTAATTTTTATTTTAGACTTAAGTTACATTATTTAAAACCCCTGGCTTCTCACCTTTTGTCTGCATGCAAAAAACATCCCAACCTTTTAACATGATTCCCAAAGTCCTATATTGAGGTCCTATATTATAGCTAAGTGAACAAATAAACAAATACAATTAAACCTCCAAGGAAGTTAATTTGGTTACTTCTTCTCAGAAAGTATTTGTTTTTAAGACAGGATGTCTACAAATTCTACACTAATAGTTTTCATTTCTGTAGTTAATTTCATGAGGACAATCCAGCTAGTCTTCTTCCTAAAGACCAAGTAGGAAGTGATTCTGCTTCTAACTGGAAAAAATATGATGTGATTAATATCGACCATTTAAAGGAGGATTCAGACATCACAGAGACATGAATACACTTAAAATATAGCTACATTAGTCTAAACATACATATTACCTGGTTGTCCAACTGCATTCAATCGTACCATTAGATGTCTTTTGTTTGGACAGTGTACGTGAACATCGGAGAGTACGGTGTCACTTTTAAATGTGGGATTATCCATCTGATTTGACACTCTTCTATTAAGAGGCATCAAGTACCAGTTTTGCTCAGCAAGACAACCTTGTGACATAGTTTCTGAGAAGACCTCAGGCAAGATGTCTGGTTCATGCAAGCTCCACCGTGCTCCAGCAAGACAGCAAGTTGCGCATCAAGATATTCAACCTAAAACCAAACACAGACAGTTTTTAGTGACATCCTGACACTGAACATTGCTCCAGCAATATTTTAGAAGATAAAAACCAGATCATACTGTCCAGTAAAGTTGCAATGCTCCAATGCTCTTTTACAATGCTCCGAAGAATCATCAGACACCTAATTGCTAGTAGCTCACTGGCAGACATGGCATATTTTAGGCAGCTACTAATTAGCTTGTGTTGAAAACAACCCCGCTGAAAAAAAGCAGACGTTACCATAAATGCAGAATTGCAGTGCTGAGTCAAGGTCTTCGATGGAATATAAGGCCTGTGCGCATAACTTCGTTTTAAGGGAACTGTTTTTCATAGGGATCTGAATTTTCTCAGAAAAGGACACGGTTACCGAATGCATTATCATAGGTTAGTTCCCCAGATTCTGCAAAAGGAGCACCTGCCCTTCCTGGAAAAAATTCAGCTCCTTTTATATGTCTCCAGTAACTGGGCAGTTAATGTTTCCAATCTTTGGCACTCTTTATTCTTCCCTAGGAAAAAAATATAAACACCTGAAATCATCCTCATTCCGTAACGTCCAAGGCTGAGTTGTCTCTGCACTGAGGCACAAACAAATGAGCAGAGAGATAGACAGGACATTTATTTCCCTATGCTCTACACGCTGTGAAGGGTATGTGAAACACTGAGGAACCACAGAGCTGAAAACACAACGTGTGTCTTTAAAAACAGATCACACACACACACAAATCCTCAAGCACTGTATGAACGATGTAGTGAAGAAGGGCACCCAGGTCTCGCCGGCTGTGCGCACCCCCAACACGCCTTAAGTGAAAACTGTCGGTGCTGGTTCCTACGCCCGCGTTAACATCTTGCAAGATTAAGCTGATTTTCCTAATATCTGCTCGTGCTTGAACAAGATCATAAACGTACAGGCTTAACCCGCTCCAAGTGATAGAGGCAGCCTTCATAACCTTAGTTCTATCAACCTTCGCCAAACCCCC